AATGCATTCGCACACACGCATACTCGTACAAACAGATGGCAGGATGTCGTGCAATGTGAATTTGCACGCAACAAGCCGCAGCAGATGCAGTACCAAAGAGAGCAGACTCACCAGCACCTAGAGCAGCAGTCACACTAGCACCTAGAGCAGCAGTCACACTAGCACCTAGAGGAGGATGTGTACATGACTCAGCCGCCTGGGTATGAGGATGGTACGGGCAGGGTGTGCAAGCTGAAAAAGTCCATCTACGGCTTGAAGCAAGCGCCACGCTGCTGGTACCAGAAGTTGGCAGCTGTTTTAGAGGAGATGGGATTTAGGACCAGCAGCTGTGATGAGAGCCTCTTTCTCAAGGGGGAGGGGGAGAAGCTGGTGCTGTTTCTGGTCTATGTGGACGACATTCTTCTCTTTAGCAGCAGCATGAAGGAGATCCAGAATGTGCAGCAGCAGCTGATGGAGGACTTCAAGAGCAAGAACCTTGGGGAGGTAAAGTACTACCTCGGGATGCACGTGGAGAGGGATCCAGATCACAGATGGTTGAAGCTACACCAGGAGAAGTTCATCAAGGAGCTGGGGGAGAAGTATGGGATTGAGAATGAGCGCAAGGTTGCAACTCCCCTGCCAGCAGAATTCAAGCTTGTGAAAGCTGCAGAGGATGAAGGGGTTGAAGCCGAGGAGCAGCAGCAATTTCAGTCCTTGGTGGGCAGCCTCTTGTATGCAGCAGTTCACACGAGGCCCGACATCTCTTTCTCGGTTGGGCAGCTGGCAAGGGTGGTGCAGAATCCATCAGAGGAGCAGGTGGATAAAGCTGAGCGTGTGGTGAAGTATCTGAACTCTCACCCAAGCATTGGAGTTCAATACTCCGCTTCTGTACAGGTGAAGCAGAAAGGGGTCGAGGTGCTGAAAGAGAAGGGGGAGAGGCTTGGAGAAGGCAAGCTCTTTCTCACTTGCTTTACCGATGCTACGTGGGCCTCTGAGAAGGAGGATTCCTCATCTGTGGGAGGATACATCTGTGTAGTTGGGGGAGGACCTGTTTGTTGGAGGTCAAAGAAGCAGACGGAGACGGTACACTCTTCCGTGGAGTCAGAGTACATGGCAATGTTTCACGGGGTGAAGGAGGTGATTTGGCTGAGGAGGCTGTTAGAGGAGATTGGCCAGGAGCAGAAGGTTGCTACGCCGCTGTTTTGTGATAGAAAGGGAGCTCTTGGGATGGCCAGGAACGCTGTGCTTCATGGGCTGAACAAGCACATGCGTATCAAGTGGCACTGGCTGCGTAAGGAGGTGAAGAGGGGGACGGTGAATCCGATCTACATCAAGACTCACCAGCAGCCAGCAGACTTCCTCACCAAGAGGCTTGCAGATGAGCCTCATTGGCGTTGTGTGCGCATGAGTGGAATGAGCATGAACTAGCATGGAATGATGAGGATGCAGTCGGCAGGCTGAGGGGGAGTGTGTTGGGTGCAAATTCACATTGCACAACATCCTGCCGTCTGTTTGTACGAGTATGCGTGTGCAAATGCATTTGGGTATGGATGAAATGTTCGTGTGTTTGTTTTCTTTCGCAATTTTCGCTTGATGCATTTGCAGGTACTCGTCCAATGTGCGCTTCGGCACAACATTGTACGCGCTATGAACAGTACAAGCAGAAATGACGAGCTCGCAAAGGAACCCAAGATGGAAGCTTTGCGGTTCAACTGACTTGATTGCGCAGATTCAGTTATAGAGGTACAATTTAGGTGAAGGTTGGATGTTGTTTGTCTGTATCTGCATGCTACAGGGCCAGGGGAAACCAGCGGAACCAGCATTTGGCTGGTTGGGCAAAGACAAAACAGGTTCTGTTTTTAGGACCTGAACCTGGTTGTTGTTTTCCTAGGTTGGAAAAACAGAACCAGAGGTTGTTTACCAACCTACCACCTGCTGTTTTGTCTAGCCAGGTTGGTTCTGTTGCTTGGAATTATTTGGGATCATCCCTGGTTGTTCCCAGGTTGATTCCCAAGGTCCTTGCTAGCTAGAGCTATTTATTCCTTCTCTGTTTGTACCTGAACATAGTCAATTTGATTCAAGCGAATTCCTCCCTTCCTGGAATTTCGTTTCTACGCAGTGCGACGGCAGAATGCTACCCGAGTCAACGCTAGTATGCTAGCGCCCCAACGCTAGGCAAACGCTGTCCGAGCCATAACTCTGTAATGGCAGAACTTTTCGCGAGGCAACTTGGCTTATTTTTAAGCTCTTGGAGTGAGCTTCGATATAGGAAATTCTCAGCTTAATCCGATCGACGGTCTGCACGATACGCTGCGCGACGTTCAAGGTACTCTTGTTATTTTGGCTAAGCCATTCTTGACTCCTCTCTCTACAAACTTGGACCCGAGTATAGGGGCTGTACCAGGCACCCAAGGACCCTTGGAGGTGACCCCGAGGAGAGGTTTTAAGTTTGATTAAGTCTTATTAGCTTGAGTCTATTAGGCCCTTACAGCAACAAGGGCAGGTAGCGCGGCGGCGGCACGCGGGCAGGGTAGAGGCGCGCGGCAGGGCGTGCAGTCAGGGCAGGGCACGCGGCGGCGCGGCGCGCGGGCAGGGCAGGGCGCGCAGCGCGACGCGCGGGCAGGGCGACGCGGCGACGCGACGCGCGGGCAGGGCAGGGCGCGCTGCAGCAGGCGGTGCGCATGCAAAGCAGTATGCGCTGCAGCGGGAGGCGCAGGGCAGGGCAGGGCAGGGCAGGTCAGGGCAGGGCAGGGCAGGGCAGGGCAGGGCAGGGCAGGGCAGGGCAGGGCAGGGCAGGGCAGGGCAGGGCAAGGCAGGGCAGGGCAGGGCAGGGCAGGGCAGGGCAGGGCAACGCGATCACAGTGGCGCGACGGGTGGGGTAGCGCTACTCGGTGGGCCCTAAGAAATCGGTTCTAGGCTAGGACCTGCTCTGAAACCATGTCTGAATAACGAACAGGAATGAATGAACTAGCAGCAGGATGGGTACAAGTAGTAAACCCTAATTGGGTTGTACCCTATATGGGCTACCCCACTACAGCCTACACAATATGCAGCATATAAGTTTGACATTAACTACGAGACGAAGTGGTCGCGCCAATTGTCGTGGCTGGTGTTTGGGAAAAAACAGGACGGATACCCCTATGTGAAGTGCAACATCTGCATGTCGTACGGGAAGGAGAACACGAGGTACGCCGGGCAAGGTGATAACGGTGGCCGTGACTTGCAGACGCAGTCGTTCAGAGCGCACGAGCATACGGACGCTCACACAGCGGCGGTGGATCGGCAGATGAAAATTGCGCAGTGCATCCGCGAGGGCCAGCAGGCGATTCCGGAGATCATCAATTCGGACATCGAGGGGCGGCGTGCGATTAGATTCATGCGGTCGACACAGTTTCTGTGCCAGTGCGACGCGTCGATCAGCATGTTCCTGAAGCTGATGGGCATCTTGCGGAGCAGGACACGCCCGACATTCCGCGACAGTCATACGGCGTCTACCTGACACGATATGTAGCTGTTTCTATGTGTTACTTTATAACGGTTGTTTCGTATCCATGGTTTCGGTATTCATTTACTAACCATTTGACTATCACTTGTGCAACTACGGCTTCCAGAAGATGGTTCACAACATCAGTACCTACATAACGCAGGTGCAGATGGACCACATAATTTCTTCCCCCTTGCTGGGCATCAGCTGCGACAAGAGCACCGACCGAATGCGTGGAGAACACATGATTGTATATCTGACGTTTTTGAAGAATCGCCAAGTCGCGTGCCAGTTCTTTATCTTGCTGACGGTTGAGAGGTGTGATGCAAGGTCTCTATTTGAGGTGCTACTGAACCATCTCCGCGCCGCAGTCGTCAATGTGTCCAAGATTGTTGGCATTAGCACGGATGGGGCGTCGGTCATGATGGGGAAGGATAATGGATTGGTGGCACGTCTTTGGGAACACGTCCTGCGCCATTTTTCCTGCCATTGCATCGCCCATCGGTATGTTTCCTTGTTGTTCTACTTACCCATGTACGTGTGTGTAGTTTTAATAACATCTGTTGAATTATGTCCCCTACGTCCAACAGGGAGGCTCTGGCTGTGAAGGAAGCTGCCGAGTCAAATCCGACCTCGACATGGTGGACAAGGTGGTGCACACAGTGGAGACGCTTCTCGGAAACTCAAGCGTCTGGAGTCAACGCTTCAAGTACCTGCAGCGAGTGATCTACATTACGAACCTTGAAGTCCAGGGAATTTACACAGTTCGGTGGCTGTTACGAGGGGATGCGGTTCGCCGGCTATGCAAGGTCCTCGACGCTTGCATCGTGCTGCTCTGGGAGCAGAAGCACAAGGCCTACGAGACTGTGACGTGCTACAAGTTCCACTTCTGCCTGTTTTCCCTCGCCGACATTCTGGCCGACATGAACCACCTCAACGGTTGCTTCCAGAAGCGTCAGGTAAGGTTTTAGGGTAGTACGCGACGGCATGAGATTTGCAGTCTAATTTCCCACTGGTGCTAATCGTACATCATGTTCTCTATGTCTGCTCTGTGACAGCTGGATGTGACAGAGATTGCAAAGACCATTGAGTCTACCACGGGGGATCTGACGAAGTGGTACTTGTCGACCGACAATGCGTTCGGAGGCAAGGGCAAATTCTCAAGGTCCACAAGGAGAGTGGAGGAAAGCAGGTCCGGGTGCGAGGCGTGGACGGGGAGGGACGCCCAATCAACCACCTCTACAGCATGCACGAGAGGAAGCTCAAAGGCCACAAGGTTGGTAGTACCTACGCCGATTGCGTGAAGCTGTGCCGCAGATTTGCCCGGGACTGCGTGGACAACCTCAACGAACGTCTGGATGACCTGGGGAAGCTTGGGCTGACGAAGCTGTTCTGGGCGGGGAAGTGGCCGAAGATCAAGGCTCAGCGAGAGAAGAAGTGCCGCGGGTGGCTGCATGGATGCAACAAGATTTTATACAACAAGCTACCGGGATTCGACCTCAAGGCAGCGAAGGAGTTACCGACATTCTGTGCGATCATGGAGACACACCATGAGCTGGAGAGCTTCACGCAGGGGCTGACGAACTTTCTTGGGAGTGCAGACTCAAAGAGGTAGGGCACTGCGAGGGTCAATGCTGTTTCCGAGTGATACTTTGCATGATTAACGTGTGTTTTTTTTGTGTGCCTGAATGTGCCAGGCAGGAGATGGCCCAACCTCATCCTGCTGTGGCAGGCGCTCGCTGTGCTCCCCCTCCCCACCGTGGAGTGCGAGCGGGGTTTCTCCAGGCAGAACTTCATCAAGTCCTGGGTGCGACGAGCGCTTTGCAACGCGCGATGATGCAGATCTCGCTCCTGAAGTATGAGGTCGACTGGTCGGAAGCACTGGAGGTGTGGAGGTCCATGCGGAGGAGGTGCCCTGCGAAGAGCCTGAAGATGGCTGTGGCAGAGAGGGACAGGAAGAGGAAGCAGAAGGAGGGTGAAGATGTGGCTGTTGGAACTGCCGGGGAGAATGAGGATGAGGGGGAGGAGGAGGAGGACAATGAAGTGGATCAGGACCTGAGCGACGATCAAGAGATCGTGGGGGAGGAGGAGGAGGATGACAACTCCTTCCTGTCGAACGATGATGACGTGGAGGAGGTGTACCACGTTGACATGCCCGTGCATTAGATAGTGTAGGAATGTTTCATGATGATGTATCACACTTTGCCCGAATCTGCAATGTCAGGTGGAGTTTATTTGATTGGGCGAAACTATTGTGCTCTGACGGCGCAAATCTGTTGTGTCAGGGCGATTTTGCTGTGATTGGGCGAAAATCTTGTGTTGACGGCGCAAATCTGTTGTGTCAAGGCGATATTGCTGTGATTGGGCAAAAATCTTGTGTTGTTTGGGCCATTTTCATGTGCAATCTACTCTTGCTAGGGAATCTAGTAATATGCGATCCATGTTACTATGCAGATACGAACACCACGTTCATTGTAAGGAATTTTTGTCGATAATCCATTTTCATCCGAGATCTAATTCAAAATAACATAAACAGTCTGAATCAAAAGCGATTTCGGATCACGCCAAGCAAAATTCGAATGGTCACGTCATATTTGCCCAATTTCGACGATAACTTCTGCTTCACACCAGGAGTTTTATGAAAGAAATCTTATGCTGGATCAGCTGTATAGTTGTCGCAGGTGACGGAAGCTGCGCAGGGCAAATCAACATTCCGTTCTTGGGCGTGCACCTCGAAACACGAGAAGACTGCCCGGGTGATAATAAAGTTTACCCTCACCGTAATAAATACCAAGTTGAACACGAGTAGTGGCGAGTAGAGGCAAACTCAGTGACTGCGGCTGTAAGAGCAGAGACAGAGAACAGAGAAGCACGGGGGTCGGTAACAAGAGAGGCGAGAACACGAGAGAGAACAGGACGGAACTCGCGGTAGTAGTCAGTGATAGGAGTAGAGAGGGAAGCAGTGAGGGCTGACTCAGGGGGACAAATGGTGACGAACGAGGCGGACTAGGACGGAAAAGGACAGTACGAAGATCAGTGAGAGGGACAGGGGACGAGCGACGAGCACAAGGAGAACGAGAAGTCCAAGCGTGAGAAAGAGGAGGGGACAACGGAGGCTGAGAACGGGGGAAAACAGCTGGGGCGGAGTCAGGAGGAGGAAACGTGGGACTGTAGACAGGGAGAGAGGGGGAGGGGGGAGGAGAAGGAGAGGGGAGACCGAGGGTCCGAAGTCCAAAGACAGGAGGCGGAAGGGGCAGCTGCTGCTGCTGCTCCTGCTGTGGCGGCTGCCGCTGGGGCTGCTCCAGCTGCGGTTGCTGCTGCTGCTCCTGCTGCTCTTGCTGCGGCGACTGCTACTGCGGCTGCTGCTGCAGCTGCTGCATCTACTGCTGCTGCTGCTGCCGCTCCTTCAGCTGCTGCCGCTCCAACTCTCTCTCCTCTCACTCCAACTCCAACTGCTCTTCACGTGCACGACGAACACGGGCCTGGTGCCGGGTCGGGTATGGGTGGGGGGGAGGTGTAGTGGCCGGGGCGGTGGTAGCCCCAGGACCGCTCTCGCATCACCCCCAGAGACAGCACCACCAGTAGCAACGCGGCCAGTCCCAGACACTCAAGGTCCCGTAGTGGGCGCACCCGCACCCCCAATCATGGCACCCACAGGGACAGCGCGACTAACACCAGCTCCCCAAAGACTAGAACCTCCTGCAGACTCGGGCTCAGCTCCAACTCCAGCACCCTCAGGGTCTACAGTAGCCTGTGGAGGAAGTGCTGATGGCTGCTGCGGTGACTGTGTGGAGGACTGCGAAGAAGGGGACGAGACCTGAGGGGCTACCGAGGGGGGGAAGGGTAGCGTGTGAAACACCTGACGGGGCTGGACCAGGGGGGGGAGGCTGTACCTGAGGAGCCGGAGGGGGAGTGGGAGTCAGGAAGAGAGGGGGAGGAGGTACCGAGAGACCTCGACAGGGATACCGGGTGTAGTAGGGGACTGACTTGTCAAAACGGACGTCACGGGAGTCAAAGAACTGGTGAAGGGGAGGGTGGTAAAAGGTGAAGCCAGAGGAGTCATCGAGGAAACCAAGGAAGATACAGAGAACGGCATGAGGCAAGATCTTGTCCGGGGAGGTGTCTCGAACAAGTGCCAACTAGCCCCAGACTCGAAAACGCGACACAACACCAGGGGACCCAGTCCAAAGACTGGTCGGTGAAGCCTCTGGCCGGGAGACACGTGGCCAGAGGTTCAGCTGGGGAGCGGCGTAAAGAACTGCGTAGGGCCACAGCAAACGAGGCGCACGGGCGTGAATCATGGAGGTACGTGCGATATCCATGGCCAAGCCTATGCGGCGCTCAACAACCTCATTCTGCTGTGGGGACTGCGGAAGCGTCTAGGACCGACGAATGCTCTGCTCGCGACAAAATTCTGCTAGAACGCCGGAGCGAAACTCACCCCCACGGTCGGAGTGAATACAACTAATATGATGACCACGCGTGTCCGCAGTGGCAAGCAACCACCGGACCAGAGTAGAAGCCACCTCGGACTTCTTTGCCAGTGGGAACACAGTGGTGTAACTAGAGTAGTCGTCAACGACCACCAGAAAGAAACTCTCTCGCTCAAGGCCAGGGCGCTAGGCGGGGCCCCAGACGTTCAAGTCGAGAGTCTCGAAGGGCTCAGTGGCTGGACGAAGGGAGGAGGAGTGAGGGGTGGCGCGCAGCCGACCCTCGACGCAAGGAGCGCAAGGTGGTGCAAGCGAAGGCGGCAGCGACGACAAGACTCGCGAGAGGCGTAAGACGAGACGCCGACTAGCCATAGTGCTTAGGTGAGGAATGGACGGGTGACCAAGGCGGTGGTGGTACAGAACGGTGGGCAAGCGACCGACACGAGCAAGATGCAGCAATCGGACCAGACGCTGGAACCCTACCAGACGCAGCTACCTGGTGGGAGGTGGCAACCAGGTGAGAAGCGAGGACCTGGCGGGGGGCAATGACAGGGGTCGGAGGTAGCTGTTGCTGCCGCCGCTGCTGCTGCTGGTGCTGCTGCTGCCACTGCTGCTGCTACTGCTGCCGCCGCTGCTGCTGCTGCCGCTGCTGAAACTGCTGCTGCTGCTGCTGCCTCTCTCGGGGGCCAGTGTGAAGTGTGTAGAGAGTAGAGGTTGGTTCAGCGTGAAAGGTGGCCAGCGGCGCGTACGTGTCACCGTCTACACAGGTCGCAGTGTCCCCAGTAGGCTCAATCCAAAACACCCACGTGACTGTCCATGAGCGGCCTCACACCCACCAAGTGCATGGAGAATGAGGGGACGTGAAAGCCGGTCAGGAAACCCAAGGGAACAGCCAGATTCGGAAGCGCACTAGTGTAGCGAGCAGTGACTGGTCCCGAAGTGGGATCAGCTAGTGCTACAGAGAGCGGCACAGGGATCCAAGTAAGCATCGTCTGGTCGCGGAAGAAGAAGTGTGAAGCTCCAGAGTCCAGAGTGAAAGACAGCAAAGCGTCCTCCGGAGCAGCTCCTGGACTAGTGTCTACACAAGTACCTATACTAGCAACAGGCACCTCAGCAACACTAGCACCTAAGCTAAAAACACTCGAGTAAAAAGAGTCAGAAACACTAGAGTCAACAATAGCAGACATAGCATGAGGAGTTCCTAAGAGATCAAGTAATTGAGAAGCAGACATGCCCCACAGGGCAGCACCGTGCGAGTGAAGAAAGGGAAGCCAGTCAGGGGCAGGGCCGTCGACGCCGCAGGCCGCGCGAAGAGTGTCAGTGAGCTGAGCAAAGCACTGACCCGGGGTGTGGCTGCGGCCACAGGGGAGGCCTCGGCGAGTACCTATCTGGATGACATAGGTGCAGGGAGGGTGGACGGCACCGCGCGACAGCTGACGCGGTCCTGACCCCTGCCCCGAAACCTGCTACTGCCGCTGCTGCTGCGGTGGGTGCTGCTGCTGCTGCTGTCGCTGAGTCAGGAACCAAGCCGCCACTCCAGCACCTGTATTCGGCAGTCCAGCAGGTGTCAGACGTCCCCGATCGTCACCTCCACTAGCTGCAGCAGGGGAGTCGCTAGGCGCTGCATGAGGCACTCCTCCAACACCTGCACTCCCGCCACCACCACTCGACACGCCACCTCCGCCACCTCCGCCCGCAACCTGACTGCCCCTCCTTCCACTCCTACCCCTAGACCACGAAGAAGTCGTAACAGTAGCTGCGGTCACGTCAGTAGCGGCAGTGGCGAGGGAGGCAGTAAAGGTGGGCAGCTGAGGGACAATGCACCCGTGAAGCAGTGGAGGGGCCACAGCGCCAGAGGCGGAGGCTACCAAGCGGAGATTGCTTTCGACGTTCTTGAGGGCAGACTCAAGAACCTCGATAGTGAGCTCGCCAGGGTGCTTCAGAAGGAGTGCATCACGAACCGAGGCAAGGCGGTCAGGGAGGCTAGTTGCGATGAAATAGATATTAATCGCCATGGAGGGAGGGAGCGGTGCAACCCGTGCGTCAGCTCAAGCAGTGTGGTAGCTAGAATCGAGCGAGCGCAGATAAGCAATCTAGTCAACAGAGCGCTCAAACGAGGCGAGGTCAGGAAAAAAGGAACGGGAGGAAAAGTCGACCAAGAGAGACAGTGGTGGGAGTGGCGTAGTGGGCTTTGATCGTAGTAAGAAACTCACTAGCAGTGCGAACGTGAGTGAAGTGGGCCTCTTCAGACTCAGGGAGGAGGCTGCTAAGGGCGATGCAGGCCGCAGCGTCACACGACTTCCACGCTGTCAGGTCAGCACGCTGGCGTGTATAACGGTCTCTGTCTGCAGTGCTGGCGTCAGCGCCTAAGGGTGCAGGGTCGGAGGGCGCAGGAAGGTCACTGGAAGTGTGCGCCCACAGAGACTCGTCTGCATGAAGCTGACTCTCTAGGAGGCAGCGCACACGCAGGTGCCAGACCGAGAACTCGAGCGGCCTACCCTCGGCATCAAAGCGAAGGACCCTAGGGGTCGCCATAGCGGAAGCGAAGAGGTGGGAACTGCTGCAGCTGAAACCCTAAACGCCTAAAGGGCCTGCGAAGGGCGGGACAGGCAGTGCGTGAGGCTTAGGGGACTGTAGGACGGTAGGGTAGGGCGCGACGCGGCGCTGCATGGCAGGCAGAACGGGACGGGACTCGGCACGGCTCAGCGCTGCGCGGGACGAGACGGGACGCGCGAG